GCCCTCCCCCTGTTGCCCCCCAAGCACCAAGAAGACAGAGCATCACTGCCCCGGACATAAGAATGTAAGAGAAGCCGTGCTGGATCAGGCCAATGGCCCATCCAATCCAAAACCCCGGGCCCTCAGGAGGTCCAGCAGTGGGGCCAGAACTCCAGACCCCTCCCATTGTTCCCCCCCCCAAGCACCAAGAAGACAGAGGATCACTGCTCCAGACATAAGAAAATAAGAGAAGCCATGTTGGATCTGTGTCACATGGTGGCCAAAAGCCAGGGGGCGGGGCGTCGGCTAGAACGATGGCGGACACTGTGTGACCAAGCTCCGGAGACCCTCCTCTGACCCACATAAATAAATCGCAGATAAACATTCCCGTTTAGATCTTTCACATGTGAAAACCTGAGGGGGAACAAAGCAAGCTTAAAAAACCCCCAAAATTAGCTTTAATGCAGAGAAACGACACGCTTTCGCTCTCAGGCTCTTTCAACGGGCCAAAACTGAGGGAACATAAAATGGCAGCTGCGGTGAGTTTCAAAGCATCGGAGCGGGAACCCATAACTAAAAAAGACCTCACAGATATTTTTGCTAGTTTTAAAGCTGAAATTATGGAGATCATTAAACCAATGGCCGAAACTCTTGAAACGCTGCAGACAACCATTAACAATATAGCGCAATCAGCTGATACTGCCCTAGAAGCCTCCATTGCCAATCAGGAGGACATTAGATCCCTTCAGTCGGGAGAGGCTTGGGCGAAGGAACGGATACTCATATTGGAACATAAAATAAGAGAAAAATGTTTTATATGAAGAAAACCAGCGACTTGCTGTTTGTATTCAAATGTTACAATTGTCTGTGTTCAAGTGTTACAATAAATAAAATTGTTTTGGTTTTAAAAAAAAAATCCAGGGGCCACCAAGGAGGTCCACCACTGGGGCAAGAACTCCAGAAGCCCTTTCACTGTTGCCCCCCCCCCAGCACTAAAAATACAGAGTGTTGCTGCCCCAGAGTGATCCCTCTACACCTTGTGGCTAAGAGCCACTGATGGACCTCTACTATGTTTATCCAATTCCTCTCTTTTTTTCTAATTAAATTTTTATTAATTTTTTTCCAAAGCATAACAGGGCATAGTATTCTCTTGAAGCTGTCTGTGCTTGTAGCCACGGCCACTTCCTGTGGCAGTGACTTCCACCTGTTAATTACTCTTTTGGTGCAGAAGAACTTCCTTTTATGTCTTCTAAGTCTACCGCTCATTAATTTTATTGCATGCCCATGAGTTCTTGTATTGTGAGAAAGGGACATTTATTTATTTATTTATTTATTGTGTTTGTCTCCCGCCCATCCTGAAAGCAGGCTCCGGTCGGGTCACATCATCTTTCAACAATATAATGAAGTGTCCCCCCCCCCCCAAAGTATTTTTATTCAGTTTTCACATACAACAAAGTTTTACAGGATAGGTGAGAATTTAAGCACAGTATATTTAAAATCCATAGTTAAGAGTTCTGACCCATTAATACAGATGGATATGGCTGGTTGCCGATGGCCGGCAAGTAGGAGACAGCGACCTCAAGGAGGCCATGTGTGCACCGCCCGCTTTCTCAGCCAAAGGCCTGGTGGAACAGCTCCATCTTGCAGGCCCTGCGGAACTGAGCAAGATCCCTATGCAGGGGGGCCCTGATCTGGACGGGGAGCGTGTTCCACCAGGTGGGGGCCAGGACAGAGAAGGCCCTGGTGGAGGCTGGACGGGCGTCTTTGGGGGCAGGGACCGCCAGGAGACGTTGATTACTAGGGCGTACAGCTCTCGGAGGCCTACAGGCGGCCGTCCCGTGGGTCTGTTGGTCCCAGGCCCTATACGGCTTTGCACCTGGACCCTCTCCGTCCCCGATGGATTTAACTTCAGCCGAGCCTGCTGCAGCCACCCAGCCGCCAGCTTCTTTCTTGCCCTGCCTTCTCTGCCCCCCGCATCATTTTGACAGCCTCTGTCATGTCACCCCCTCCCTCCGTGGTGAAAGAGCCCGGAACCTCTTTCGCCTTTCTCCCCAGTAGGGGTGGGTGTTCCGGGCCCCGTCCCCGATGCGCTCTCATCTTCTGTGCGGGGCGGCGGCCAGGAGGGTGCGCACAGGGTCCCAACCGGGGCGCACCTTCGCTTTCTCTTAGACAGAGGCGCTGGGAGGCCGGCTGGCTTTCGGCGCCCTCCCCAAGGATCTCCAGCAGCACGGCCAGGGCGGGCATCTTCCTCTGTACGAGGCAGCCGCGGCGGCGCCCGCGCCCGTCCCGTGTTCCCTCTAAGCCGAGTTAGTGTGAGCTAGCTGACAGGTTTTTAGCCTCTGGCTCACACATTTTTGTCTTCGCTCAGAAAGGATGGCCCCAGAGCAAACTAGTTTATGCAGCAGCCAAATCGCTCACTCACAGCTTTCATGCCAGAAGCTCACAGAGTGGAATTTTTGCTCACGAGACTCCACAGCTTAGAGGGAGACTTGTAGTCCTGAGCAAGCTAGTTTATGCAGGAGCCCAATCGCTCGCTCACAACTTTAATGCCAGTAGTAGCTCACAGAGTCGAATTTTTGCTCACAAGACTCCACAGCTTAGAGGGAGCCTTTGTCCCGTCCCGTCCCGGCCGCCGCGGTCTCCGCCCCGAGGCGCCTGGCTGGCTCTCCCCCCACCCCCCGTCCTCCTCCTCCTCCTCCTCCTCGTCCTCCCGGGGCCAGGGGGGGGCGCTAGCGGCTGTGCCTGCCTTCCGGCCGCCAGGAGGGGAGGGGAGGGGAGGGGAGGGGAGGGGCCGGCGGAGGAAGCGGAAGGGGAGCCCCACGTGGTGGTGGCGGCGGCGGGGGAGGCGGGTCGGGTTCTGTTTCTCCGGGGGCGGGGGGGG